TGGGCGGCAAGAGGAAGGGATTTCATAGAGAAGAGTCCCTCAGTTAAAAATTTCCTGGTGTTTTTCTCATGGTAAGACTGGGGTTATGGGTTTGGGGAGAGGGAGTTCACAGATATAAAGCCCCGCTTTCATCACATCTCATCAAGTGCACACATTAGAATTTCCACGGCCATTGTCCACCTTGACCTTTAGGCTCAGCTCTCTCCACTCTGGAGGTTAATCCTTTCTCTCCCTCCATGCTGTAGTCCTTGGAAGAAAGTCAGTATGCACAGAATTTCCTTTTGTATTTGGGTTTCTTAATTCTTCGTCTCATCAATGTTTTTCTGTTATGTGCCTCAGAAATATTTCCTCTGTGTCGAACTTTGCCAATATGTTGGCATAAAGTTATTGTAGTATTATCTCATGATTTAAAAGCCCAAACCCTCCTCAGAGTCTGGGGCTGACATGAACCAGTGGTACCACATTAAATGCCTGTTTGAGAAAGTGGAGTGCCTGGGCTACCACAAAAGAAATCGAGGACCTGGCAGAGCTGGAAGAGCTGGAAAATGCAGAGGAACAGATAACCCAGCATATTACAGGGTGGGTGAAGGAACAGCTTTTTTATCTTACTAGTGCTGAGAAAAAAAAAAAAAGGAAAATAGAGTTCAACTTTTTTCAACTTTTTATTTGGAAACAACTTCAAACTCACAGAAGAATTACAAGAATAAAAATAGTACAAAGGAAAAAAAAAAATTCCTCCTGTCCCGTGTGATATACCCTGTTTAAATCCTAAAATTTGTTATTTGTATATTTTCGTTTTCCCTTGGTCAGGTTTGCTGGAAAGTTGCCCACTTTTTAGATTTGCTCTAAGAATTAGCTTTGTATTCGGTTGCTTATTTTATTCCCTATTAATATCTTTTCTTACATTTATGATTTCTTTCTACTTTCTTCAAATTTACCGTGCTGGGCTTTTTCTAGTCTTGATGTGGATACCCAACTCATTTAGTCTTAATTCTTATTGCTATTTAAGAGCTGTATTTACACCTGTATGTTTTCCTTTCTGTATAACTTGTTGGCATCCACAATGTTTGACATAAAGTACTGTCATTGTTAGTCATTGTCAAATATAGTATTTTGCAATTTCATTGCTGTTGACATTTGAATGATGAATTTGAATGTGGCCGAGATTTCCTTTGAGACCCAAGATGTGGCCTATTTTTGGTTTCATATGTCTCTTCTTTTTCCTTGATATTTCCTTACCTTTCTGGGATTTTTATTAAATATTGTTGCTAACTTTTTATTCCTTTGCTCCATGTTTTTTTATTTTAATTGTCTTTCATATTCTCTCAGCTCTATATTCCTTCCTGATGATTTCTGGGAAGGTTTCTCCACCTGGCCTTCTAACTCACTAATTTGATTTTTGTATACCTTCTACTCTTACGTCATACTATTATTTATTTCAGTCATTATATATATTTCAGACCAAGAACATTCAACAAGTTCTTCTTCATGACTGCTTGTTCCTGCATTTTACCTATTTCTACCTAATCACTCTTTAATGATGTGTATTATGCTTGATGATGTTCTATGATGATGTTCTATGTGTTCCATTTCTCTTTTCCAAATTCTTATATAGTGGTTGTGCTCTGCAAATGTCTCATTATTTATTCCTGTGAGGTCACATTCCCCTGGGATTATCTGCCACTTTTGATGGAAATGTCTCCCAAGGAGAATAAGCCAAATTCCAAGCCTTGGCTTGTGCCTTCTTTTAGTGCTAAGAGCCTCTGTGTTGTTATTGTTTTAACTACACTGGACTGATTCATAATAACAGCCTCTGTTTTTATGGGTCCTCAATCATTTTTTTCTCTCACAATGTAACATGACACTGACACTGACCTCAAGTGACTCTTCTGTGCCTCCATCTAAGCATAGCTTCTCCCAAGACTATCATCATCTTGGGATCTAATCATGTAGCCCAGAGAGTCTCAACCAAAATTGGTATTTAGAAATGTGTAAGGGAAATGTAGGGGCCGCTATAATGATTCTGAGTTACGACAGGCATTTAGGGCAAGAGGTGAGGGATACTAACCACTCCTTAATGCATGAAAAAATGCCACCTGATGAAATAGAGTCCCAAATAAAATTATAATAGTGCCCTTATGGTTGGCAATGGGGGAGAAGTTAAAAGTGTGAGACTGCCTCAGGCATTCATGTACGTGTTTCTCTTCTCTACACTCAGTTCTCTGGTGGCACCTGATGCTGTATCACCTTGTCTCCAGTTAATGCTGAATGATGATACTGTTTCTCTGATTGCCCTAAAAGGTGGCAATCTAACTGGGGCATTGTCAGGAATTGAAAGATCTGAGGATGGCCCCTGTGTCCTTTCCATATCACGCCCTCGGGTTTTTTCTTCGCTAGACTGGCTTTCTGTCCTTAAACCTTTATCTCCATCATATGTGTTGGCACCTATTCATCTTGGACTCTCCAGAGGTCTCTCACAGTTTTTGTTAATAAGCCCATGATCTGCTGTTCACTCTGTAGGATCCCCATGACTGGGTCAAACGAGGGCATCAGTATCCTCCATTAGAATTTCACTCTGCTACCTTACTCTGAATACAGATTCTTACTAGCATATGAAAAAAATGATAAATGAATCGCTAATTTTGAGAAATTAGAGCAACAAAATTCCAGCAGATCGGAGAGCTGAATGGTAGGCAACCACCCCCTAAAGGGAGCACTGATAGTTAGCAGGGTTCTCAGCCAGTCTCACCACAGGTTCCGACCACCATTTAGTTTGTTGTCTTTGTAACAGGTGCCCGTTTCTGTCCCAAGGGGGTGCGATATACAATAGAGACATGCATTTCTCATTACCGTTTCAAAAGGGCATGGCAGTCACCCTAAAGTTCATACGTTTTTCCCAACTGCCACTCTGAAAACAGTAGAGTCCATGATACTCTGTGACTAGTGAATCATGGACCATAGTGAGCTATCTATCCATGAACCTGCCACAGCAGTGGCCTTCTCACCCTCTATTAACATGATTCAACTACAACAGCCTGTGCTTTTCCACATTGTTTAATGACATGCAAAGAACCCTATGTCTAATTCTTAGAGCTGGAATCTTGAAACAGTCCTGTTGCATCATCTCTAGTCATCCTGTTTATCTTTCCATGATTACTCACAAACCACAGAAATGAGACTTCCTCCTAAGCAAAGGAGCCTCTTCGGCCACGGGGCACATCTTGTTTGATTCCTGAAACCACAATAGTTGTTTCCCCAACGTGTGGCTCCGCCCCCAGTGAAGGTCACCTGGACACCTGCTCTTTGATTTGCCTGATGCTAACACTCTGCCTGTTTTGCTTCGGCTTTCTAAAACTCTGACCAGCACTACTCTTATCTACACACACACACACAAAAAAAACCTGTCTCCTAGATAGTATTTTATCATGCAAAGCCGTGGTTTCATGCTTCTACTCATGACTAAGCTCTCCTGTTTAGACCCCTCCTTTAGACCCATCAATGTAGGACAAAGGAAACAATCAAAGACGGTGATGGAACCGCATAGTAACTACAAGGACAGCACACTAGGGAGGATCCTATATTTTGTTCATACCCACCTTTTGAGCCATTTGAAGGAAAACATGGTAAAAATAAAAGCATCCTTTCTTTTAAGCATATTGGACAATAAATATAAGGACCACAGGAGCTAGCTGAACTGGGTTATTACCTATGAGTGGAGTCAGCTCAGCAGTGAAAAGTGCTCTGAATCAGAGATCAAAACGACAGGATTCCTGCACTCAGCCCAGCTTCAAATCTCATTAGATGACTTAAACAAATCATTTAAACAATCATTTAAATTCTCTTCTGTGCTCTCAGTTCTTTAAGTCAAGCATATCTATTAATCTTACTTCATATAAAGATGCCACTTTAACATTAGATATCAATATCTAAAACAAATTACAATTCATAAATCTATGTGCCTCAGAGTAGAGTGCGAACTTGAGGGGTTGCTGCCACCAGTCACCAAAGGAGCCGCCAAACCAAACCCATTGCAAATATATATATATATTTTTTTCCCTAAGGAGCCTCAGGGAAGAATGGGGCAATCCTAGACTCGGCAAACAAAGTTAGAACAGCTTTTTACATGACCTTTACAAAGACAAAGAAGTATTGATACGGGTGGTTTGGTAGAGCATGATCAAGGGTGTTAGAAAAATTATCAAAATATGGAATGTCCTCGTGAAATAGGTCTTGATTATTGCAATGCTGGGGTTTTAAAAAAATAAGACTGTAAGGATTGGTGGGCATGTTTACAAATGTTTACCCTCCTACCTGGGGCAGCACCAATGAAACCCATGGAGGGAACCACAGACCAAGCAGCTCCTGGGGGCACTGGTCCAACTGTCCTGGGTACCTGCTCTTTCTGGCACTGCTTCTATCAGATCAGAATACAAGTCCCAGCTGGACTCAAATCCCTGAATGTAAGCTGCCAATGTTGGTCTGAGATACATATACAATAAACATTGCCGTCTCGCTTACATTGTATTTAAGTTTCTTTCAGTTCAATTCAACAAATTGTATTAAGTACCTACTAGTTTGAGATAATATGCTCTTGAATCCTGGCGACCAGTTCTTAATGATAAGGCTCAGGTGAAACTAGGAGATTCAGCTCTCCATTGATGACTGTCTCCTTTCAGTCATTCCAACTTCCAGCTTGACTCACTCTTTTTCTTTCCATGTATTTATTTGCACAGTTGGTAGAAGGAGACTCATAAAGTCTCAGGACATTGAAATCATTTAATCCATTGGGCACAGCATTTTGTTTCTCCTTCCTGCTTCTGTTTGAACCGGTAGCAGGACTTTGTGACCCTGGCCCCTCCTTGAGGTGGAGCTGGCATGCTTTATACTTTCTGTCTTAGCTAATTAAAACAAACAGCGGATTGTAAACTCATGCTGAAAGTTTCCAGACTGCAACTTACACCCTACGATTTATTTTGACACAGAGGAGAGGTTCCCCTAAAGCCCACAAGTAGCTTCAGAAGAAAGCCTCAATATCCAGCTCACCAGAGTTCCTATGTATGGGATTGAACAGGATCTTTAAAGGTATGAAAAATACAGTAGAACCTCTGTAAGCTGACCACCCAAGGGGCCAACATAGGAGGTAGTGTTATGAGGAACTTCTATTTAGCCCATCTGTTACATGTCCAGTCTTTGAAAATGTGATCAACTTAAGGAGGTGGCCGGGAGGTGGTCAACTATGGAGGTTCAGCTACATTTGCAAAATTGAGCAGGTAAGAGAAAAGAATAACATTTATTTTTGGATGCAGGAACCTCTAATGTCTATATGTAAACTGGGGACTTGGAGAAGGGAGAATAAATTTGGATAAATGGAAGATTTTAGAAGGGCAGCATTCAAGCAATCTGATTTTAACACACGGAGGACAGATCATGAGTTAACTTGTGTTCTCATACCCAAATGCTGTTGACCAGTCATGAGTTAACTCATATTTGCACTTGCTTTAGCTATTGCAATTTTAAAAACCCAGGATAATGTAGAATATTGTAAAAGCTTTCTTGATTGTGTCACCAGCATAATAGCTGGCAATAATGGGATAGCTTCTGTGTAAAACCGCCAGTCAACAATGTGTTAAGAGACAATTTGAAATTCTGTTATAAAAATAAATATTGAGATGAATCATAGGGAAACGCTGCTAAAGCCTGGAAATGTTTTAAAGAAAGTAATAAATGTACGTTTTTTGTGACAGGCGCCTGTAGTCCCAGCTACTCAGGAGGCTAAGGCAAGAGAATCGCCTAAGCCCAAGAGCTGGAGGTTGTTGTGAGCTGTGATGCCACAGCACTCTACCAAGAGCAACAAAGTGAGACTCTGTCTCTAAATAAATAAATATAAGTTTTAAAATAATTCTCTTCAAGCTTGAGGAATGTTAGATAATCTGATAAAACAAGGAAAAGGAACATGTTAACAGAACTGGGATTAAAGAAGCTGGAAAACTAATTTACATTCAAAGGAAGCTGTAATAATGTGGTTCTCGGGGTCAGTATTTGCTGGAGTGCTTTGTGTCTGTTCTTTGTGTTTAAGGGAATATGTTTAAGAGAATAGAAGGGTGACAAGTAGCTTGGAGGTTCACCTAGACATGAGCAACTCTGCTTCCTTCAGGCCCTTAGCTGCAGAGTTTCTTAGAGCTCATGATGGGCCCCATGGAATATCCCTTCTGCAGAATGCACAAAGTGATAGCCACACGATAACACTTGAAAGATACCAAGAGCCACCGGGAGGGCCAAGGCTTCGTTTGGGGAGTAGCTTGTCTGAGGATAAAAATAATCAGAAGCCATAAAGAATTAATGTATTTCCATGTTTATTTTATTTTATTTTGTTGTTGTTGTTGTTGTTGTTGTTGTTGTATGTTTGTGTGTCTGGTTTTGGATTGTGTCTCGTAGAATCCTAAGCATGAAAACAAGTATGACAAACTATAAGCCTCTGTTGGTGCTACTGTTTATATTAGCCTCCTTGATCACATTTACAGTTCTCCAAAACTTCACAAAGGTAGGAAATGCTTCCTTCCTGTGTTTGATAAAAGCTTATTTTTACTTGATACCTCAACTATTCTAAGACAGTCCAAAGTACAAGGCCTACTGATGGGAGGAGAAGAGTTTCAACAGCTTTTTGCTTTTGCTCCCTGAGCTTTTGAGATCTTATCCAAACAACGTCCTGAAGCAATTTCCCTACGTTTGTTGTAGTGTTTTCATAGTTTGGGGTCTTACATTTAAGTCTCTAATCGATTTTTAGCTGGTATCTGTATATGGAAAGAGAAAGGGCTCTAGTTTCATTCTTCTCCGTAGGAATATCCAGTGTTTCCTGCTCCATTTATTGAAAAGACTTTCCTTTCCCCTTTTGTACCCCACTTGGTACCTTTGTCAAAAATCAGTTAACTGTAAATATGTGGATTTTTTGCTGGGTTCTCTATTCTGTTCCATTGGTCTATGTGTCTGATTTTATGCCAGTATCATGCTATTTTAGTTACAATAGCACTTCAGTACCATTTAAAATCAGGTAATGTGATACCTTCAGCTTTATTCTTTTTACTCAGGATTTTTATTTTTTATTTTTTTAACGTTTTACCTTGCTATTGTGGGTCTTCTGTGGTTCCATGTGAACTTTAGGATTCTCTTACCTATTTCTGCCAAAAACATCATTGGTATTTTGATGGAGATTACACTGAATCTGTAGGTCACTTTGAGTAGTATGGACATTTTAACAAAATTAATTCTTTCATTCCATGTGTATGAAATATCTTTCCATTTTTTGTGTCTTCTTCAATTTCTTTTATTGGTGTTGTAGAGTTTCCACTGTGGAGATCTTCTACCTCTTTAATTAAAATGATTCTTCGGTAGCCATTTTAAATGGGATTGATTGCTTGATTTTTTTTTTTTTTTCAGATTGTTTGCTATTGGTGTATGGAAACACTGTGTGCTGATTTTGTATCCTGAAACTTTATTGAATTTGTTTCTCAGTTCTAATAGTTTCTTGGTGGAGTATTTAGGGTTTTATAAATATGAGATTGTGTCCTCTGCAAACAGTGGCAATTTCACTTCCTCCTCCAATCTGGATGCCTTTAATTTCTTTCTCTTGCCTGATTGTGATGGCTAGGGCTTCTAGTACTATGTTGAAGTGAAGTAATCCTTGCCTTATTCCTGATGTTAAAAGAACATTTTTCAGCTTTTTGCCATTATGTGTGATGTTAGCTGTGGTTTGTTGTATATCACCTCTATTGTTTTGAAGTACATTCCTTCTGGGTGATAATTATGAAATACATTTTTGGTCTTTATCTCTGTTTCCTGGCACACAATTCCTAAAATCCAGGAATTTCCAAAATGCTCTCTTTCTATATTCTAATGTTGACTGTTAGCTTCAGGTTGGGGCCAGTCACAGGAAAGACAAATCATTCTTAGAGGGTTGGGACTTTTAGCCCCACCCCCAACCTCAGGAATTGGGAGAGGAGAAGGACTAAAGATCAAGTTGATCACAAATGGCCAATAGTTTAATCTATCACACCTATGTAGTGAAGCCTCCATAAAAAGGCAAAAGGACAGGGTTCAGAGAGCTTCTGGGAAGCTGAACACATGGAGATTCTTAGAGGGTGGCATGCCCCACAAGGTTATGAAAGCTCTGTGCCCCTTCCCCTATACCTCACCTTATGCATCTCTTCATCTGTATCCTTTGTAATATTCTTTATAATAAACTGGTAAATGTAAGTAAGTGTTTCTCTGAGTTCTTTGAGCTGTTCCAACACATTAATTAACCAAAAGAGAAGGTCATGGGAACTGCAACTTGAAGCCAGTTTCTTAGAAGTTCTGGAGGAGGCCTGAACCTGCAACTGGTGCCTGAAAGGGGAGAAATCTAGGGGACTGAGCTCTCAACCTATAAGATCTAATGTTATCTCCAGGTAGATAGGGTTAGAATTGAATTAGACACCCCACTGGTATCAGTTGGTAAGTGAAGGGGAAAATCCCACTCATTTGGCCATAGAAGTCTTCTGTGTTGATTGTTGTATTGTTGTGAGAACAGGGGGGAAGTAGTTTGAGAGTTTTTCCAGAACACCTCCTATTCCTGAATTGTTGAGAGTTATCATGAAAGGATGTTGAAGTTTGTCAAATGCTTTATTGACATCTATTGAGATGATCATATGGGTTTTGTCCTTCATTCTGTTAGTGTGATATATAGTAATTGTAGATTTATGTATATTGAACCATCCTTGCATCCCTGGGACAAATCTTGCTTGATCATGGGGAATAATGCTTTTAATGCACTATTGAATTCAGTTTGCTGGTATTTTTCTAAGAATTTTTGCATCTGTGTTCATCAGAAATATTGGTTTAAAATTTCCTTTCCTTCTAGTTTCTTTGTCTCCTTCTGTATCAGTGTAATGATGATGTTATAAAACGAATTTTGAAAAATTCTCTTCTCTTCAGTTTTTTAATAGAGGTTGAGAGGATTTAGTTCTTCTTTAAATGTTTGGTAGAATTCAGCAAGGAAACCATCAGGTGCTGAGCTTTTCATTGGTGGGAGACTTTTCATTACTGATTCAGTCTCCTTTTTTTGTTACTGGTCTGTCCTGATTTTCTATTTCTTCATGATCCTATCTTAGTGGGTGATATGTGTCTAAAAATTAATCCATTTCTTCTAGTTTATCCAAATTGCTGGCATATAAATGTTCATAGTAGTCTCTTATGTTCCTTTGTACTTTTGTGCTATCGATTGTAATGTCTCCTCTTTCATTTTGGATTTTATTTAAGTTTTCTCTCTTTTTTTCTGATTCTAGCTGTTTTTTCAATATTGTTTATTTTTTAAACAAACACTTAGTTTCATTGATTTTTTCTGTTGTTTTTCTAGTCTCAGTTCCATTTATTTCTGCTCTGATATTCATTATGTCCTTTATTCTGCTAACACTGGGCTAGTTCGTTATTTTTCTAGCTACTTGATGTATAACACTAGGCTTTTTATTTGCGATTATTTGTCTTTTGTGATGTACACATGTATTGCTATAGATATCCCTCCTAAAACTTTTCTACATCCCAGGAATTTTGGTATGTTGTGTGTCCATTTTCATTTTTCTCAAGACATTTCTTTGATCTCTCTTTTAATTTCTTCTTTGTCCTGTTATTTGGGGGCATGTTATTTAATTGCATGTAGTTGTGAATTTTCTAGAATTCCATCTGTTATTTATATCTGGTTTCATACCATCATAGTCTAAAACAGCGCTTAATATTTGTTCAGTCTTCTTAAATTTGTTAAGATGTTTTTTGTGGCCTAACATATGATCTGTCCCAGAGAGTGTACTGAGTGTACTTTAAGAAGAATATGTATTTGGATGTTGTAGGATGGAATGTTCCATATATATCTGTGAGGTCCATTGATTCAAAGTTTAGCTTAAAGCCAATGTTTCCTTACTGATTTCCTATCTGGACATCTGCCCAGTTATGAAAATGAGGTACTGAAGTTGCCTACCATTATTGTATTACTACCCATTTCTCCTTTCAAATGTATTAATACTTGTTGTATATATTTTGGTCCTCCAATGTTGAGTGCATATGTATTTATAATTTTTTTCTCTGGATGAATCTCTTTATCATTATATAATGATGTTCTTTGCCTATTTTTACAGTTTTTGACTTAACTTCTATTTTATCTGATAAAAATATACCTATTCCTCTCTTATGGTTTCCATATGCATGGAATATTCTTTCACTTTCAGTCTGTATGTGCCTTTACAAGAGAAGTAAGTTTCTTATAGCCTTCCGTATAGTTGGACCTCTTTTTTTTTT